ACCAGTGGTTCACCGCCCCGGTTATTGGCTTTTGGTACTCTCAGTTTGGTAGGAAAACAGCTCCACCACGAGAAGGTAGAGAATGGGCTTTCTCAGCAGAAGCCTATTGAGACACTTAGTCGTATGAGAACGTTTCACGAGATGCAAAGGAAGGGTAACCAGACACGACCCAAAACGCCCACCTTCAACCATGCTGAGGCTTTCAGAGGCAACCTGATGGCAGAAATCTTCATTTTCGTGCACATACATATATTTCACCACCGCTAGTTGCATAGTTTAGATTCCTCGGTTAACACGAGTACATAATAACTGCCGTGTACATTCGTTTTTTAGTTACTTAATTGCCTCGATTTGGAGAAAATCAGGCAGGCTCCATTGTGTAAAGCGCTGTAAAGAAAGAAATGGATGACATTCACTCAGTGTCCAGTTTATTTCATTGTGGCGGAGATTGCTAGTGTGAACAAAGCCGGACACGAGACGAATGTTGAACAGTTTGTTGCACTAGGGAAAGGGTGACTGAACACCAACCATAGGAGACCTAGGAACATGCAAGTATCGGATAAACATAGCTCTATTTTTTGGACTCAGTTGGTAACAATCCAAGCCAAGGGCGATAAAAAAGAATAGGTGGACGTCCGTCAATGGACTAGTGACTGAGTATTGGACTTAACAAATGAAGTCCGGGATAAATCGAGTTGTCTAATGTTAATTTAAACCGAGCTCAGAGCGGAAGAGGATGAAAAACCGCCGCAAACCTGCAATCAGTAGCTCAGGGTGTGAAGTTGTGCGTTAAAGAATAAAACAGCTTTTAAAATGAAGAAACACCTGACATTTAGTTAGGAGCCGATCTGGCGTGCACAGAGCGAAAACAAAGTACAAAGATGTGGGAAACCGTTGAAAAGCAGGAGTGTATTATTAGGAGTATTCGCAAACTCACTCCGTTACCGGAATTTCTCGATACCGTGAGTACAAAAAGGTCGGGGGAAGTGTTGGTCAGTGTTTGGAGGGAAATCAAAGGGAGTAGATCTGTGCAAGAAAAGGCGATTGGTTCAGAATGTGTAAACCAGTCAGCGTTCGCATCCCCTAACAATGATATTTATAAATTTGATCAGTTCAGACTACCGGCGCCCTACTGGTTTCTGTGAAACTGTAACGTAAAGTTTCCCGACTATCTTCGTGTAGGAGCATTGGAAAGCCATAACTCTACTCTCACCAAACAGCCTCGGCGATATGATTACTTTGGGACAGTGGATTAGTGGTTGACGATTTCAGTGTCTGACGGCAAGTGTCCATGAAACCCGTCAGAAGGATTCTCGCCTTTACTCATCGACTCTCTGGTATCAACTTACTCCAGGGGGTACTGATTTAACATCGCATCCCTCAGGTCGGTGACTCCTATCGCGACCTTTCCAATTTACCACATAATAATGACACGTGATGGTCGAGATCATTCCACCCACCCAACTCCCGAAGCAAACTACATCACTTGAGATCATACATTCCAATGAGGATCATGGACTTCGTGATTGGAATGGTTTGGTACTGTTTTCTTTGGTGTTCCTGTACTGCAACAGAAAATTGACTAACATTATCTTTAACTCCCTCCCTGTTTTCCAGTTCACAAATCTAGCGGTACTTTTCACTGTAATCACAAACTTTTCAGGCAATGATGTATCCATGTTCTCAAATGGCAACGACCAATGCTCTCCCCGCGCAAAGAACTAATCTGTAACCGTCACAAACATTTGTGCGATGCACTCACAACTAAAGCCCTTACGCAGAGATCAAATCCCAAACGGCGTGTTTAGAGTACTAGTTAGAGGCAAAGTGCGGTCACACAAAGCCAACCTCATCGCCCTTCGTTCCTGTCGGGTTAACATGAACTGACTAGCGATAATCGAAAAAGCTTGATTTGGCGCTTCTGATCATCCCCGGTGTGTTACTAGAAATAAAAGTAACACACGCATTCCGCACTTTCGGTTCAAAGTTCAAATCCCGGGCGGGACAGTGGATATCCATAAACTGATGAGCTCTAGAGAGAGCGAAAGTCGAGTCTAGTGCTTCGCAATTTTATGGCTGATTAGATGAAGTGAAGTGAACGACGCTCGGTACAGAACAATTCACACCAGACTAAACTTTGCGATTCAAACATTTAGTCTCCATCATCCCTTATTGGACGACATTGCACAGTACAGAACAGGAACTAATCAGTAACTAACTGTTTCAATGCTTGTCATTAGTCTATTGGGATAGCACCTATTGTTATTCCGCACATGCAGGTTTCCCCCACTGACGCTTTACCTCATTTATGGACGCATCTGTCGTAAATAGCGTCTTGGGCACACAATGCCCGCTGAGGAAGTTCGATCTACTGCATTCTCATAAAACGAGTGTCTTAAAAGTATAAGTAAACCTCTACTGTCCATGTCCGAGCCACTACGGCCAACTTCACATTAGCTGTTGCGCGCAGGAAACAGTAGGTCACCCTCGGTGTTTATCGATTTGGAGTCAGTTTAGATGTCACATGCACATTGCACGGCTTCACCGAACCACCGGATCGACGTCTTTCAGTGAGTTTTACAAGATGCAAGAAAGGAAGTTTGCTTCATTTCAACAGAGACAGAGCGTGAGGAGAAAACATGATCAATCATGAAGTAGAAAAAGCATGCAGTACATTGACCAATGAAGTGGTCTGAACGAAAACCGATCTAACCAGCGTTTCGCTATCAATTCAAATTAATAGTTTATTAAATCAAACGGAATACCAAACGATTGCAGACTCCTGGTAATCAACCCTGTCTTTGTGTCAAGTTCCTAAAGTCAATTCAAACTCCTGGTCTAGTTAGGACAGCCGAGTAGTACAATCATCCACAGTGTGAACAGAACGAAGTAATAATATTTGCATCCCGTGCGTGTGTTACTGTTTCTAATCCTAGTTAGAAGGTTGGAATGTGGTCTCTTGTGGGTGGGCGATTAAACGCATAAAATAAGTGCTACTAGCTTGGTCATAGACTGACTGACTATATGTATCTCGTACACCTCATCCGACTTCATCATTGGCTACACGACAGTGCCACCAGACGCGAGAATGAAACCGAAGACACTTCATTCTTCGATACAGGTTAACCGATATTTCTAGTTGGTCCATCTTGAACTCCAAATTGGTTCAGACTGGCAAACATTCTGTGCAACTGGTCAAACAAAGGAGTCCGGACGAAACAATATCATCAAACAGAACTCTTCATCTATCTATCTAGTCGAAGATTATGAAACAAGACACGTTCTTTATAATTTGCATAAAATTAGAGCTGGCCGAAAAGGCAGTCCGAAAATACAAACATAAAACAGGCAACAGGGAGCCATAAAAACCACGGGACACTCGAAGAAATGTAGTAATAAGAAAAGAAGCATGCATAAGGGAGGGGGGTTAGGCGCTTATCACATTGGCAAAGTTTGAAACAGATCCTAATCCGACTAATGGGGCAAAAGATTCCATTGACCGAGAAAAATGATGCTTGGTGTCAAAGTTTAATGACAAAGAACGGCAGGGAGGAGTGCTGTCTGTGTGTGTGTGTGTGTGTGTGGTGGAAATCGGGTCAAAGGGGTTAGTGATCACGATCGTCGTCGAGCGACCAGAGCCACAACATGACGAACCGGGTTAAGAAACGATGTTCCGGGCACATCACCAAACTCACAGGACACCACATCCCATGACTGACGGAATTCCGGTTTGGACTGGATCAACAGATGCGGTTCACGAGTGAGCTGGCAACCGACAAAAGACCACGACCAGAACGGTTGGAGAAAGAGACATAAAAAGCGTGTGATTCGGTACTCCGGACTAATATGCTCTAGAATCAGAAGCAATCCGCCCTGAAACAAAAGAGCAAACAGATAAAACAATTGGCGAGTTTGGATAAGAAACAAATTGTTGTAAGTGACGACACAAAGATAGTTAAAATAACAATTATGTGCCCAGGAAATCGGCTTTCCGACCAGTGAAAGGAGAAAGTTCGTTAATTTTAATCACCTTTTATCCGATAACGAGTGATCTAGTCGATCAGTAATGGAGTTTTGCAACGCGATGGTGAACCAGATCGATTGTACCGGTCAGTGGATTTGCGCTACCATACCCATCCTCGTTTAAAAACAGCGACAGATGCATTTGAAGAACGATTAGTCGATGGAAGATTACCGCATTACGGTGCCCTCTTCCTCGAGCGCGAATGGTATACAGATGAAGGATTGCGTTGGTTCAGGTCCCAACCTCTAAAGTAACAAAGGAAGCAATAGAACAAGTAGACAGATTTGATTATTTGAGCACCTATATCTCACCGGGCGAACGCATCACGACTGAAGTGTTAGCACGCACATAGAAAGCTCGATTGTGATGAACAACCCTATCTGGTGTTGTTGCCATATCCGGCTGTCTGCGAAAAGTTGACTGTACGCTGCAGCAGTTTAGCCAGTTTTGCTATGCGGTTCCAAGACTTGGCCATTACGAAAACGGGATAAAGATGAACTAACGATGTTCGAACAACGCTGTCTACGGCGCACTGCACGGGTCTGGTGGAGCAACCGGACAAGCAATGGTGAAGTGTTGAATGGTACTGACCACAGGAAGTTGTGTAAAAAGGAAGTGAAGTCGAATGGTATCATCTATCGTTCGTTTACTCCTAATTGCCAATACGCCCCACAGTA